TATATATTAGTGTATATTTTCATTTAAATTTATAATTAATTTATGTAAACCATTGAAACAAATAGTTTAGTGTGATGTATTTTATTATAATACTCGTGAAAATAAACGAATGATTTCGTTCGATAAGAACTTTGATTGTATTTTTTTTTTTTTTACATAAACATGGAAAAAAATTTGAAAATATGGTATATCTCATGAATGTGTATTTCGTCACTCAATAATTAAATGAAATATTTTACGTAAATAAATACATGTAAATAAAATAATTAAATAAATTTGTCCGAAACATCAACAGTATTGTTAAAAAAACATGCAGTTATTAAATAATCAACGAATTAGTCATACAAAAAACGTTATCTGACTAAGAACTGCAAACAAAAAAACCGTATGCTGACACCGTGATTCATTCACCGTACTTTTCAACTTTAAACCTAACAAATTTGCTATATAAACAAATATGGATTTATATGCTACGTTCGTTTTAATACATATTATATGAATAAATATCACATTGTTGGAAATTAATGTTTATTAATACTTGTGATTCAAAACGTATGATTATTTTAATTGAGTTGTTACGCTCAAATAAAATTGGAAAACGTAAATGAACAAGAAACTGGGTGATGATTTGTTTGAAAAACTCGGGAAATTATTTCTTGAACATTGACTTTTGTTGTTTAGTTTTAACAGTAAACTTAGATTAGTAACATTAGTAGATAAGTTTGATTTATTGTACATAAATGTTTGTATTCACTTTGTGTTGTTAATGTGAAATTTATCGCTGCAATGTTTTTTTTTTTTTTTTTCTATGAAAATGTTTATAGCTTTCGTAATTTATTATATAATATTTTTCGCAATCACACCAAATACTAGTATTATATAATATTTCACTAGAACTGTACGATAATGATAGAATGATTCGCAATCACACCGAATACTAGTATTATATAATATTTCACTAGAACTGTACGATAATGATAGTACTGTACTTCATAGTACTGGATATTGTCAACCGTGTCCAGTTTAACGTCTATGTCATGTCCATAAATTCGGAATTAAATTACAACTTTTTTGACCATTGACCATCGTTCAACATAACAATAATTAATCAGCGCATTGATGGATATGGCTATACGAACACACGGAAATGCAGACGGAAAAATAAAGTATCACGCGCGTCGCGTCTGACTTCCTTGTCATTTAACTTCACGTCCTCCCGATAAGGAACAACGTCACACTTGGATAATTCAAAGACTGAGACATCCTTGGACGCGGCACTACATCACTGTGCGCAGACATGACAAATCGTTCACGAAACAATTTTCTTATCGGCCGCGTTGTGTTAATATCGAATGTATAACAATAAAACCGTACATAAATTCAAAATTGTACTTTAAGTGACGATTATATTATCATATTAAATTAATCATGGTGGGACAGAAGGGATGTAAACAAATATATAGCACCGAAAAAGTACGACTATATGAATAATTTTATAAACACTAAATAGATAATAAATTATAATTATTCGCAATAATCAGCTAATGAATTTGTCGCCAAATACAATTGTAGTATTAAGTGTTTTTTTTTTTAAATTCATCCACCAGCTATGGTCAAATTTATAACATTATGTATTGTATATTACGAAATATTTATGACTCATGAATACATCTTGTAGGATAGTAGACAAAGAAGTTATTGTTTTTCAACATTATTTTTACAACTGCATTATTCCTTAATGGAAACGTGTAAGTATACACATTTTCACAATACAATAGAATCAAGCTTTGCTTTTATATATGATAGTTATTTTTTGTATATAAATTATTGGTTTGATTCAAGATCGTAAGAAAATGCATGTTACACAGTGCGAATTCGGGACATGGTATTTTTCTTAAAAATCTAAAAATTACGATGCTTTGCTTGTTGGACAAAAATTGTTGCTGTTTGAATAAATCAATTTAGCGCGAAACATGTTTTTTAAGCTATGGACACGGTACTATGATTTTGATGCACGCAACGTGAAATATGTAATTTACATTGAACACAACATCAAATAAATATTACCCAATTCATCAAGCTTTTGTACATGAAAGAAACGAAATCTTAAACCATAAGGGTGTGTCTATATTATAATATATTACATCCATTAATTTAAATTATACATTTGTAGGGTTATAGAATTTAATTTCTAAATCGACAGCTCGTGAAAACACCAAAGCGTTTTATTATTAGTAATTTTGCAATGTTTCATAAATGAAAAGTAACAATAATTATGGAACATAGTATAAAAACACAATTTTTGTTTTAAATAAAATTTTTAAAAATAAAATAAAATAAATGCTATTCACATGACACGTGTCTTGAAACGACTGTTTATACGAATTAAAAAAAAAAAAAAAATAACCAAACCGTCGCATTAAATACAATATGTATTTCTCATATTCAACATGGTTTGCCCAACACTCTTGATCCATATATTATTATAGGGTGACACATGACAAGTGTATGTTACGAGTGATATTCGCTATAAAATAAACATCAAGGCAGCCCTTAAAATTAAACCTAATTAATGGGATACGTTTCATAGGATACGTAAAACTTTCTTGTTTTCAATGGTTATTTTGAGTTTTCAAAACCAAAATCATATTCAGTAACATCAAACGGACTTCAATAATTCAATATTAAATAATAAAAAAAAAAAAAACTTCTTAATTTTATAATATATTCATAAAATATAGGTTTTTACTCAAACGATTGAACTGCAGGCAAAAATGGCTGTAAAATAAAAAAAACGTAAACAGTTGACGAATCGAGTAGTAGGAAAACTCGAGCATTTTCAACGACTTTTGATTTATTCCACCCTCCTCAGCGGAGTAGTAATAGTAGTAGGAGGCTTCTCGGCGATTCGATGCATATGTTAACTTTTCGTAATATCTTCGTTTTCATTTTTTCTTTCGAATTCTAACGTTTTATTATTACCCGATTACTCGGTTAACAGTCTAATCACGCATCATCATACAAACAGACGCAAAACTGTACTCATCGTCACATGTTTTGTAAGTCAAATGAACGACGAATTCTGCAGAAGGAAACCGTTACTTTTTTTTCGTATGACACTGAGCGTACAAAAACGGCCGGGTACACACTAGACTCAAGTTTTTCAACGGCTTCTCGAAATGAGCATTGTTTTTCCGAGATATCTGTGTCACATACATCCAAAATACACACACGCACACGCAGAAATTTATACATAATGACACAGACGCATATATTACCAAGTGTACTCTTATAAAAGTACACAATATTCGTTGAAAAATATTTCGTATCAAATCCGTGACGATGGTAAAATGCCGCTTGAAATCTACGTGATAAAATAACCCAAATTGTTATAATAGTATATACGTACCGCAATGTTTAACACTAAAAACTAACACTTCTCACTGCAAACCTATAGCGATTTTGTTTACTTGCTAAGACCGAGTACTTTTGCACGCGTAATCAAACGTTTCATTGCATAATAACATGTACGAAGTGGATAGATTTTATATTAATCAACTGTGTGTACCGAACTTGATTTATTCTCTTCGATCAATATTATACACATCGTCGTCATACACTTGCCGTCGGATTCACGATATATAAACGTGATCGTTTTCCGACCCAAACCCCGTTTCAAACGTTTTCGATATCAACTGATGCTGTTCCCGTAGTCACACTATAATACGATCAATATAGTGAAAACAAAACGGAAAAAAGGGACACAAAAAATTATTACCACGTACTTTTACCATCGGAGGACATTGGAATTTTTATTTAATTACTCCGTGTATACATAAAACACCACGGGACACGTAATAAAACGAACATCGTAAAATGGCAATACACCCGTATTAGTAAGTCTCTACTTCACGGATTTGAATTTATATTCAAAAAAAATTTTAATTCCACATTTAAAATCTCAAAAAACCAATGATTTTATTCTTTTGAAATACATAGCGTCTCTAACTTATTGTATATGCATAGGTTGGACATAAGATTGTACCGTTATAGGTGTGATTATTATGAAATCTAATTAAATTTGAACCCATGTTTTTAATAAAAACCAATAGACATATTTTGTGTTTTTACAATATTATATAGACAATATTAACAATGTATGTTAATAAGTTGTCTTATTAGCATACTCGTATTTTAAGGCCATATTTAAAAACATTGGCCAGTGAGAAAAAATACAACTTAGATAACATAGTAATATACTTCACAATACATTTCATTAATATTATACTGAAATGTTAACAGAAACTTTCAAAACTTATATACTATAATAGTCATCATAAGAGACAAGTATAAAATAGACTTATTTTATTAATATATTATCTTATAGTTTCGTTTATTCTTCGAATTTTGTTATAATTATCAATGAACACTTATACCTGTTAAATAATTAAAAGTTTCAAATTTTTTTTTGATTTAAAACAAAATAGTTGTCAAATAACTATTGTCAATAGTAAATTAATACCATTATTGTTTTGTTTTTTTTGTAATGACTATTTATAATACTTCTTAACTTAAAAGAATATCTTTACTAAAATAGGATGAAGTAATACATATAAAACTTATATATATATATATATATATATATAACTACTTTTCCACTCATTTAAAGTAATATACAATAGAATAATACTCGTTTGAACATAACATAAATATAATAACACACTAGTTTTAAAAAAAATTTCAAGAAACAATAAATAATAATAATATGTATAAATATATCAAGTTCTATGCGGTTTAATTATTATACAACTAGAAATTTTACAAACATCCAACTACCGATGTAATTGAAAATATACATTAAACATTAACACCTAATAGGTCGGTTAATCCCCTCAATCGTCATATTATTTTAATTAATTTCCTACAATACACACACACACACACACACACACACACACATATACATTTATGTATAATATAAACTGAGAAAATATATAATATAATAATAACAATGAACAAACGGAAAAAAAAAATTACACACAACAAACGCACACGCACACGTTATTTTATGAAATGGTGTTTTAGGCGAAAAACGTTTCAACTCGTATGGTCTCTGTTTTTCTTCCGCTGCACCACTGGTCCTATTGCAATAGTCATTATATCGATATGCTCTTTTCGGCTTTATAGACCCTGCGTGGGATTTAACGGCTGAAAAAACGTATAGCGCGCTTTTATTTTTATTTATTTTTTTCGCGTGCTTTCGCCAGCCGTCCGGCAGAAGTGCGCGATAATTCACTTGATACAATATTATTACGGTCCAGCAACGACGTGTACGCGTGTGTCATACACTCAGCAAGATAATATGTTCATAAAGACCGATTGACCCGCTCTCCGTCGTCGGTCGTTTTTCTTTTTTCTTTTTTTTTTAATTCTTACGTCCCGCGAACCTATACAACATAGACCTCGTGCACGTGTCACACAGGAAGTGAAAAAATACGTTTATTGATATGTATATGTATAATGATTACGAGTGGCCCGCAACGGACGGACGACCGCGTCGCGGTAAAACGGTACTTACTAACCGTACGGTTCGAACGGTCGTCGCGGTCGCCGTACCGCAGGTAACGATAATGGTAATAATAATACTAATGATGATAATAATAATAATAATAATAATAATAATAATAATAATAATGATAATAATAATAATAATAATGATAACAGCAGTAATATATGTTTAAATATGTGTCGCGCCGCCGGTTCGGGGACGACCACGTGTTGTTTTTTGCGGAATCGCGTTTCAGCGTTTGTCGGCCGCTGACGTTTGATCGGGCGCTAGTCCCGCCACCGCCGCCGCTACTGTTGTCTCACGATGTGTGTCCGGTCGTCGGTCTCCGCGTCAGTATTTCATCACGTTCTTCTTGGGCAGTGATTCTTCGACGCAAAACGAGTCCGGGTACGTGGGCGTGGACGGCGTTTTCTTCGGCGCGACCACGGTGCCACCGCTGCCAGTCCGCACGGGCGGCGACGTGAGGGGTGTGGTCTGCAGCGACAGCGACAGCGGCACGGACGCGGTGCCCGCCGCCGCACCGGACGGGGTGCTGATCAGCGCCGAATGTCGGTTGTCCGTCACGGACCTGTACCGATGCGGTCTGGTCTTGTGGCACTGACATTTCAACAGCCTGAAACCAGAGGTATACGCGTGAACAACTTTCAGATTATCCGATTACGCGCAAGGGCGTGCCCAGGAGGGGGTTCGGGTCCGGACCCCCCCCCCCCAAATGAAATTTCTACGTACTCAACGATTTATACAATAACAGTACATAATGTATTTTGATTTCCCATTATCTTCAATACACAAGGTTTATAGATTATATTGTCACCTCAGTTCAAGACCGCAATAACTCAAAAAAACTATTGTTGAGATATCGACGCTTCAGTTCAAGACAGCAACAACTGAAAAATATTCAGAATTGAGTTATCTACGTGATATTGTTTGCAAAATTACGACGATTTCGATCCATAACGCAATAACTTTTAATTGCATTATTCACCTCTAGAGGTCGATTATTTTATTCTAAAACCAGTAGTTTCATAATTTGAGTTATTGCAGTCTTGTGAACTGAGGCGACGATATAATACACCTATCGTGGATAAACCATACTATACTATATTGACAGTAATTTGTTGGTACTGAGTTAAACTATAATTATAATTAGAGAACAGATAAAATAAAAATGTTGGACCCCCTCCCCATAAAAAATTCCTGGGTACGCTCCTGATTACGCGGACAGTGTTGGACTTAAAGGCAAAACGGTTGGAGGAGGGGAACAAAAGGCAAAGCATCGGATCGACCTTGTGGCTGAGGATTCGTTAAAGACCTCGGATTCAGATTTTTGTTACGACATAAAAATAGTTAATACCTCGTGACTGGAGAACATCATTTAATCATCAAGTATTCAATGATAATTCGAGAAAAATTAGATAATTTTAGACGTTGTCTTATAATGTATTGACAGTCCGGTTATATTATTTTTCATAACAAGTGTTAATACGAACAAATATTCAACAAATGTTGACAATTGTTTTATTTTATATATATTTTTTTTTATATACAGCCCTCCGATCAGTAGTTGCACCGTGGCCTTCTAAAACTTCAATCCATCACTGATTTATGCGAACAATCTGATTATCATAGGGTAGGTGCGTTTTGAACTAGTGTTATTTCTTTCGCTAAAACGGAAAACTAATTATTTCCACGGTTCCAAAAAATTCTAACTATATATATTATAGTCTTCTACACCACGATATCACGAAAATAACTCGGTAACGGTAGTAATGTTTACTATAGTATACGGAATGCGTGTAATCTATTATAACATTACCGAATTTAGTCAGTGTGGTATGCAAAATTGTAGAAAATATCATATAGAGACAGCACCACACCGAACAGCATAACAATTACATAAAACGAGATTATATTCATTTTACTATTCAATTCATTTTATTTTTTTTTTAATTTACTTACACTCAACAAAATCATAATATAAATTATACAACCCTGTGTGTATTATATGTTAAAAAACCTATTATAAAACTTAATTCTTGTAGAATAAAGATAAACAAATACTGCGCAGCTTTGATCTGTACTTGATACAAATGATCCACTTAACAATACCTATAATGTAGAACTAAATATAATCGGAATCATTTCCATGCTTAGATTTCATGTTTTATGTTTTTTAATTAGAGTGAAAATATGATTTTTGGTGTACTTATGATGTATATATTTATTTTTTCTAGTCCAACTTTTCTTTTTCTATTCGTCAGATACATAACTACGAGTATTAATGTGTTTTTATATGCGAATAAAAACCATTTGAATGTCATGTACTCAATTAATACTATTGGCGCTCTCTCTCTTTCTCTATCTCACATATACACACACACACACACTATCACTATATCTAAAATATGCTTAAACGTGCAACTACAATCAAGTAATTTAATTGATAGACGTAATAAAAACGTCGTATTTGGTTGAGTAACGAATCATTTTCTGGGAGATAAAATAATTTTTATGCACATATACAGAACACGACGCACTTTTGTCAGAAAAATCGTCAATAACGCACTTCATTTCGCTCTTCGTTTTCAAAACACAAAGAAAACTTTGGTTGTATTATTTAACTGTTTTATTTTTAATTGGAAAGTTCTGAGGACGCCCAGTCGCCGCTGGACATTAAATTTAATTACAAATTCTCAATCCTAACTATCCCATTTCAATAATACGGCGGAACGACACCAACTTCAATTCACCGCATATATGTTCAATATAAATTCTGGGTAGGATTATTTTTTTCTTTTCACTTTAAATTCAAAAAAGAACCATGTACTCGTATATAATATATATATGTACTATTATGAGAAAAAAACTATAAATAAATAGCGTTGCTGTATTTATGCCTACAAATGATTTTCGGATATGAGGAAAATAAATACAAATTTATGACGTATCGACAAAATCAATATGTGTATAGGTAATTATCTAGACCACCAATTTTCAATTTATGTACAATATATTATATTAGTATACATAGTGTATATAACGATGCAGTCTACGATTACCGTGTTATTATAATACTTATGATGTTTTATTGCATAAAAGTTCACTAAACACATAACGAATCAATTTTGTGTCCAATAGTCAAATAGTTCGAATAATTAAAAATGTATTCGTTCATTATAGTAAAGTGATTCTTACATAACATTATTATTTTTTATTTTTACGTTCGAATCATTATCAATATTTCAATCAATAATCAATGTTGATTATAAAATACACTAAGTACATATTACATTTTTAATGTTATTACACATAGTTATTAAGGTTATAACTATCGCAGTGTTCTTAATAAACTGTTTGTGAAAATCTAAAAAATATAAATAAATAAATTTAATGATTCAATAAATCGTATAAATGTAATGAATATATATATATATGTGTGTGTGTTTGGGCTGCATAAAATTCTCGAAATCTTAATTTATTATAATGTACAGAGTTTAAAAAAAAAATGGCTGGTTGAGTGTTAGAAATTTGAAACGATTGACATAGAATTAAACAAATGTTCTTATATAGTTTTTAATTAAAAACAGAATCTAAAAGTCCAAAATATAAAACTACAAATAATTATAATCGATTATTATTGTAATATTTAAATTAATGTTTTTAAGATGGTGTCCATTTGTAACTACACGTTCCTGAAAAAGAAATGTGCTTTGTCTGATATTAATAAGTTGTCAACCACATTGTGTCCTTAAGTTATCTTTCCCATAACTTTTTTTACTAAACTGAGATTTTTTGTCGGATTGCTTCAACTGCTATCCAATTTAAATTTTAGAGATCTTCAAATGTGCCATGCCACAATGTCAAGGTTAGATTTCAGGAATGAATACGTACAAATTGACACTAATTTACTGATGTTAACTTAACCTAACTCTTGAGCTTTTAAAGGCAAATATAGTTAAAATTATATTTTTAAAAATAAAATGATTTTTTTCTAGTTTTCTGTAGTTTTTTGAAATCTTACCATTTTCCCGAAACTTGGGAGACTCAGTACAATTGTATAGGTATTATTATAAGTGCAATGTATAATAGTCACATCATACTCATTTACCTGATAAACGCAGCTCTAAACGTTTTGTTGAATATCGTGTAGATGATCGGGTTGATTGTCGATGACACGTATCCCAACCAAAGGCACACCTCGGTCACGTGGTCGGGCACCGGGCAATCGACTTTCGGACACACGGCGAAGAGGATGTTCAACAAAAAGAATGGTGACCAGCAGAGTACGAATGTGAAGAACACAACTCCTAATACTTTGCTGGCTTTTTGTTCGGTTCGAACAGCGTTTGCGGCTGCTAAACTTTGACGTTTCTGTCTGTTGGCGAGAAATCTGAAAACACGATATTATCGCATGCGTTAGTATTAATATTATAAGAATTATTTAACTTTGTTTTGCAACAGATGCAGTTTTCTGCTATTACATTTCTTCACTCGTAAAGTAAACAATAATCTAGGTATGACTTAAATCAAATCACTTGTTTCTACATTATAATCATTTTATATAAATATATAAGTATATATACTCTAGGGTTGCGATAATCCAAACAAAATTGGGGAAAGAGGTTAGCTAAAAGTGTTAAATTTAACTTTGACCTTTAAATTTAAAAACATATATTATAGTTTTATTAAAAGTGGCTTTACATAAATATTGCATTATTCGTTTGGGATGCTACAAACCAAAAGCGAAAAAATTGCATTAAAACATCAAAAGCTTTGGCATACTGTTTATTATAATATAATACAAAGTTGCATCTATTTTTCATACAAGGATTTAATATTATATAATATCAAAAACTATAATTTGAACACAAATTAATGAAATAAGAATGTATTGCTTTGAGCAGTAAATAATATTAAATGTCGTACAATGATTGCATGCAAATAGTTAGTTTGAAATTCACTAGATAAATATTTATTACTTCGACAGTACCTATTGCAACTAGCAATGATAACGTAAAAGTATCATCATATATAATATAAATTACCAAATTTTTCGGGATACTGATATATATATATATATATATTACCTATCAATTATGATAATATGTTTGTTATGTAATAAAATATACGATAATCAATAAATACTTCAGGAAAATAGTTTTTACCAATAATATTATTATTTTACATTGGTATATTATGATGCGTACAATGAAGGTATATTTTTTTTTTTATATATACGTTAATTGAATAAGCTGGAAATATATTAATAATTAAAGCTCTTATCGCAAAAGCGATTAAATAAATGTAAGCATACTATTATTAGTAGTAGTATTCACTAATAGTATTATAATAATAATTCCAATTATAAATGTTTTTAGCAGACATTTATTATACTTGAATTAAATTATTTGAAAAATAATCTCTCAAAGAATATAAAGAGTATTACCGTAATTTTATTTATCCAGGAAATTACATTTTAATATAACCCAAGCTGTTTATCTAAATCCCTAGTGACCATTTTATTTTATAATTTTAAGACTGTAAAATTTTGGTGGTATAATATAACGTGAAGTATAGATTATTTATATGAATGCATTATTTTAAGTTAAATTCTTAAGACAGTCTTTAAATTATAATAAAACGATCATTGCGGGCTCGCATTTATGATACATACGTACGCTATATACATATATATATATATATATATATATGTGTGTTACATTGCATGCAAAATAGAACATCAATTAAGCATCAAATACCAATTGAGCTGCACATGCATTCCTTAACTATTTAATATTTAAAGTATATTTTCATTTGAAAGAAAAATTATATATATACGAATATCTACGATAACTATAGTTAACACACAATTTTTATATTATACTCTAAATAAAATCAAACTAATGATATCGTTCGATGTACGTGATGTAAAACTATTTTAATTTTAATAGTTCAAGTATATAAAATCTCGTTCTTCAAGTTAAATATAGGTACCTACTCGAATACATCAACATTTTATGTGTTATGCATATATGTACAGAGGTAATACAGAGTTATTCTGTATGAAATAAATACGTATAGCGGTTAAATAATAATTTTCCTTTTTTTTTTACCGTTAAATTATGTAATTATGTAATTTATGTGATAATAATAGTTGTAAAAATTATAATTGGTTATATTTTATAATTAATTTTGATTCCATATTTTAATAACTATATATATTCTTAAAACGATAAGTTTCATCAAAAATAAATGAATATGATCGGTCATTTACATCCGTAATAATTACAATAAATTAAGAATATCGTTTGTAATAAAATTTAATAATATTCCCTATTTCTTTTTTTTTAAATCTGGGAAGTATGAAATTGTAAAAACTGAAATCAAACAATGTTCATATGTATAAAAAATCAAATTTCTCTGATATACAAAGTATATTATATTAAAATTGTAATAATAGTTACATAAAATGTGTACTAATAAAGTTCCATCAGTTAGATATTTAAGTTATATCTAACAAATTTAAAAACAGTCAATTTTTTTTTTCTTTCAAGTATACTAAATTAGTGTACATTGTACATCAATAGAATTTTAAAATAATTAGCGTTTTGTTAGAAAAACGTTTTGCGATTTTATTAGATAAAAATATATTTCTAATGAAGAGACATTGTTTTCAACTCTTTCGAGTAGCCTGATTTCTCTATCAATTTCTTATAAAGTTTTCAAGGTAATATATGACTAATGCTAATTTTACATTGATTTAATAAATATGTGCCTCATAAAATGGTTTTTACAGTTTTACCTCCAGAAGGGGTTTTATATATTATATGGATAATGAAATTTCTTAGAATATTCATAATAAAAGGTTATAAAATATTATCCGTAATAATAATTTCAACAAAATAAGTTAACGTTAAATTTATTCTATGGGATAAAAACACTGTATTTTATTATGTTATTACCTTAAACATACATCTCTTATAAATACAGGCTATAGATATATATTTGTCCACCAAAAGAATAATTAAAACCGTTTTAACAATTAATTAAATTGTTGTTCATTAATTTCTCAAAAATAATGAAGACCTTTAATAAAGTAACACAACAATCAACTTACGAAATCGAAGAAGCTTGTTATTAAAATGCTGTATTTCGAGCCTCTTACTTGTTAATAGAATGGTTTATTATAATAAATTCTAATTTCATTCTCATATTTGACACAATATTGTTAAGTCAATCAATAACGATGTTATTAACACGTTTATTCCGACCTCGACGTTTTATTTTATCAAAATGTTGGTTTTCATACGTATCTGACGAGGTAATATTTTCCCCATTAACCCATACAACGCGTGCGTAGAAAATAATCCGTTTTATTCAAGCCTAATAATAAAAGGCAATAGAATGAAAAACCGTGATGCAGTCCGTCAATATATTCAATAGATATCAAAAATCTCAAGTTTGAATGTTTTTCATCCGTAGTCGGGGCCCCGTTTCCTTCGGTTGATTGATCCGGTGTGTACGAGCTGTGTTCACAATAGGACAAAAATCAGTTTTCTCCGTCCGCGGGCAAAAAGTGCACGGAAATCCATAAAACATATAGAACGAGCGCGTCTTTTATACTCATCTGTAGAACAGATGGTATGGAGCGGGATAGGGGTGGGAGGACGTATAAAACCCGACAAAAAATGACGTATGTACAGAGTGTTTACGAAAAATGGTGTGTTCGGTTACCTGGAAATCTAGTTTGCATACTATTGTCATCAACATTTAGTATACAGTGTGTATTGTACTGTATTACAATATATACAAGAACGCGGGTAACACCGAGTCATCGGTTGGTGGTTCATACGCTAGCAACGCACACAGTCAGTAGTCGTTACATAATTATTTAACTACCTGATGTACCTCAGATTCAGAGTCGATGGGTTCATGTTCAGCTGAAGCCTAAGCGTCTTTAGCCGGAAGTTCCTCGAGTCGCTGTTGGAGGCGGATACCGCGTCCGGTATCTGCGTGTGTTGATCGCACTGTTTGTTCTTGTTGCCCGGCTGTACCCGCCTAAAACAATATACAATCGCAGTTGGTTCGGTACACGTTTCTCGGTTTACAGGTATTTTTATTCGGTTATGCGCGTCCGCCGGCTTCAGTAGTGCAACTACACGGACGTTTTCGCGATATCTACACGTTCTGGTTGTCATTACATGTCGGTTTTTAGAGCGCAGTATATACATTTGCAAACCTTCCACATGTAAAAACATAGAAATGCAATATCAAGTACGTGAAGACCAGTCTTAAGTAGAAAAATAAAAATATCACTCGTCCCTGGTGTGATATCGTCAGCATCTGCGAGTGCGATGTACACAATTCAAATGTTGTGAAACGCTATCGCTGAAGGTCCCGGGTGTTTAAATTTACAATTGATCCTAAACGCACTCGAGAATAACGTTTCCCGATGTTTCAAACTACTAAAAGTTTTATTAAAAAAAATAAAATAAAATTGTCTGGAACTGAACAAATCTTCCAATTTTTCGCATTTGGTAAATTTAGCTTAGACGATTCTATACAAGCCGCAAATCATAAGACCTGCTTGTTTTATCAAAAGAAATATAAACGCTTGTTGCACACAAATTTATATTATTTCAAAGTTTTTTTTTTCATACCAAAAAAAAAAAAAAAAAAAAAAAAACTACTGGAAAAATCAAAAAGTTATAACGTTTTCAAAACGTTAAATGTACATACTACCCATTACCTATCAGTACTAATGCCTGACTTAATAAAATACTATAAAAAAAAAAAAAAAACTTTTGGAGTAAATTAACTACCGGCAAGTTTTATCGTAGAAAAAAAAAACATCATTGTAAAACCAATAATTCTCTAATTTCAATCAAACACACTAGTAGAATGGTGAATATCAAACCAATAACGTGTGGGATTGATACGTAAACAGTAAAATAAGCAGTTTCGAATTATTATCCAACTCTCCGATGCACTACACTTGTTATGAATACTGCCAATAAATATTGTTAGGTTCGAGTTAATTTAGCGAAATATTTAAAGTGATAAAACATTTTCAAAAGTGTTGTAAACTCGACTGTGGTTTTCGAGTAACATCGATATTCGTAAGTATATAAACGGTACCAGGATACTAACGTTTAGGACACATTTGCACATTTATCAAAAATGCACTGGTATGTAAATCATGAAAATCAAAAGGGTAAAACGTATATATTGGTATGCTTTCCAGCGTAATACATTATGGTTCTAGTTTTACATTTGTGTGAAACAACTATGGTGCGTATTAATCGCATCGGAGCCCCGTAGCGGTTATTATCGATACTTCGATTGTTCCATCTTTGTTTAAACCACATCCCGAACACCGTTGGTTTAAAATTGTTTAGTACTTATTTTAAACTTGTTATAAATAAGGATCGAGGTTCGTTTTATTATTATTGTTATCGTTCTGATAGTATAGTTAAATCTATATTTACATATTAAAAATAAGTATAAATACAATACACTATAGATAGGGAAAATGCATTAAGTGTGACATTTACTTTAAACATTGAATTCGGATTTTTTTTTTTTTTTTTTTAATAATAATTAGTGTAGTACAGTTTGTATAATAATCACTTCTTAAAATTAAATGACAACGCGATATTTTCAAGATGAGTATTTCTATAGACTCCGGATTGTTTTTATTGTAATTTCAACAGATATTGTAATCATACAGCTCATCAATATATTATTCTACAAAATATTAACATAACAAATAAAATGGTTTGATTAAATAAATAGTACACTGTACTTTGTGTGTATAAACAATAACAATAATAATAATTTTACGTATGTACACTGACCTAACTACATATATTCATTAATTTAATGTTGAGATGTGTCAATAATAACATTAATAAAAAATAATATTTCGATTAAAATCCATTATACAAGTAATTACTATATTTGATTCAAACATCCATAAGCAAATATATATTTATATAACTCATACACTTACAACAGTTGCTTCAGTTACTGAAATACCAAGAAATCATTTTAATTTTTCGGATCAATAATTATTAAATTGTATGTGAGTAAATGTTTCAATTTTCTTAAATGTTTTATATCTTTAAAAAATATAATTATTTTCTTCAAAATAGTAATAATAATTTATAAAGTAGTTCACAATACACTCAACTTAAAATAAATTAATGTAATGTATGCACCCACACGTGTGATTAATCATTTGTATTTTACTTGAATAATAGAATCAAAAATCTATGAATAGTATAATTATCAAATTAGTAGGTTCCAGATAAAATAAATAAATCTCAATGTTTATAAAGTCAAGATTCTGATTCTGTAAGAGATTATATAATAAAATTCAATTGAAATATGCTTGATATACGGAAAAAATAATTCAGATATCACTAAAAAAAAATCCAAAACCTCCTTGCTAAATTTGCTAAATGTATATTACGCGGTGTATATTACCTAATATAAAACAAATTTAATATTTGTTTTCAAAAACGTACAAAAATATAATTAACTATCTACCTACAAAGACATATAAATGAAAAGAAAACTAAAAAAAAGAAAAGAAACACTAAAGTAACGTAAGTATTATGTTTAATAAAAACTCTAACAAATTTAAACTAAAATAATAATCCAACGCATCATTGAACAATCTTGATCCGAAAACAAAACGAATCTATGGAAACAATACTTACTTACATTTAGATTCACTTTTTAAAAATGTATAGCAGTATGCCTAATTTTAAGGAATTTAAATAATATATCCTTAACTTGTTATTATTTCTTTCTCCATTGCTAACAATAATAAGGCAATATAAAAAAAATACATTGACAATAACAATATTCCGCCCATTATTTTTGTTATGTAATGTATATTCTTTCTGTATATTCCAGTATAACAGACAAACTTTCCGCCGTGAACAAAATCTGTGATGTAAAAAATTAAACATTGAATAATTCATTGCATGAATCCATTTTAATAAAAAAAATAATTATATTCTACGGTAAAAATATGTTAAACGATCTTAGTAACTGTAATTACTATTAGATTACTTGGATAATAACCTATATTGAAATAAATTATGATGCTGAATCATTAAAAATATTGTCAGTGAACCATAATTCAAAAATAGAAAACATATACATTTATTTTAATGTTAAAAAAAATCTATTTAAACAGATGATTCAAATGATTCAAATAAAAAATGTCCAGCATTTTTCGCAAATAACTATTAAATACACTTTTAGATATCACCACTATCACCATTTCTTTGTCACGCCAAATGACCTGACATACTCACAATTTTATAGAGGCAGATGTCCAACCATTATAGATATCTTCAGCCCTTGAATTCCAAACTGTAAAACTAAACTAGATACTTAAAGAGTTAGTTAAAACTCAAATAATTCACAGCCCTGCTTGAAAGTTAAATTACGTAAATGGTACATCAATTGTCTACAATAAACTTCACACTTTCCCAAGATCCAGTAAATAAAAAAATATTACACCCTTTAAGAAAAATTAAACGAATATCATAACATATTTTTTTTTCGTTTATCTTAATAATAATAATTTCAAAACTGAAACTTAAAATTGGAAATAAAAATCCTGTTGTAAAATACTCTGAAATAAAATTGTGTAACTGATTTAAAATGAATACCTATATATATGGTTATTTTTGACGAAAACTTCATATCTTAGAATTTCCCCAAAACTACGTAAATAACAAATAAATCGGATAATTTAAAAGTAGTAGGTATATCACGTTAAAATTGAATAGCAGGTCTTTGTAGAATACAGTACAGTTCATTAGTAACAAATTAAACATCGTTCCTATTATTATATTTAACAATCCTTTAGCCATTACTGACGGGTAAGAAATTATGTTTTATGTTTTATCAGTAGCACTTCCATTTTTAATTAAATATAAATCTAAACATTATGAAAAATTGATAAAACTCAAATATTTTTAGAATGTCCCTTCTTCATATATTTCCAGAAAAATTACACAAAAACCAATCCTAAGAGTTAACAAAATGATAATACAATTATTTAAGTAATAATTTTTCCAGTTCTGAAAAAATAATATTTATCAGATTCTTATACTACGGTTAAGAATGAAAATTACTTACTTAATTATTGATTTCTAATAAAAAAACAAACTAAAACGGTTGACGAAATATTATCAACCATCAAGTCTAATTATAATACTCAAAATTATTTAATCAGACAATAGCGGAAATATTATTACTAATTAGTAAATTAAATAATTTAATTTGTTCTTTTAATATTATAATTATTTATTAATCAAATTCTTTAGAGCAATAATAACAACTCTTCATATCTAGAACATTTACTTATATGTACTTTATAACTTAAATAACTTGCACAAACATTACTGTTATACACTTTCAGACAGAAATATAAAAAAAATCTCCTTATTTGATCTATTATCATAATATACTTCTTGTTCCAATTCAAATATTAACAAAGCTCTACAGTGTTCAAAAATATAATACTTGAAAAATACAAAATGCAATGTATATTGTTATTGATTTCAATAGCTGTATACAATGATATTTTTGTAGATCATATAAAATATTTTATAACACAAATTCATACCTTTAAGATAATAATTTTCTCATGTGTAGGATCCATGTTACACCTATGTTGAATATGAGAAGATTCAAACCTTCTTATAAATAGCCAATAAGGGTTCTAATTGATGTGTCAAAATATAATATGAAAAATAACCAATACAACCTAGTGTTACATTAGTGTTACATTAATAATCAATCACTGCACAAAGAATTTATACTTACTATCTAGAAATAAATTAACATACCACTTGATATTGTTAAAGACGATTTCGGACTAAAATAAACTCGTACGAAAATCTATTCATACATCGCATGGTATTGAACGCCACTTTAAGCAATATTCCAAGATGTACCAAATAACCTAACCAGAGCAGTCGAAAAAAATATCGCTTAAGTACACAAAAATTATAAAATAAATGGATAGATAT